AAAATATCCCGATATCATATATAAAATATCCCGAAATATCCCGAAATTTAGAGCAATTTTTTACTTAAAATCCCGATTTTTCAAGTTTTGAGTTGGTCACTCTATATCGCAGGTATCTTTAGGTATCAGTTTAGTGGAGATTAGTACGTGAGACTATTGCTTTAGTTTGTTTGTCTATAAAGTATTTATCACATATTTTATACTAGATAATAGTCTTTTATGTAAAATTCTTTATTTGGCTACTAATTTATTATTCACAATTCATAGATAGTTTAAATTACATTTATTATTTAGTAATAAATTTAAAATTATTGACTGGAGAGTTCTGCCATACATTTAGCACAAAATATGTGGCTAACCAGGTATATGCCCTTTAAACTGTATAGCATTTTATTGGATAAACTACAATGTATACGATAACTATTTAAATCTTAATCATTAAACACACAATATATGAAATACCTGTTTACCTATTGAAAACAAATATTATTGCAATTATATCTATCAACATATTATTTTATTTATCACATTACGTACGATTTGTAATGCGTGCAAATATTATACACTATAAATTAAATGCAATATCTCACTAGATATCTCATATTTTATGTTGATCGCAATTATATTTAAACATTTATTTATTCATAAAGTTATATATAATTAATAAGCACAGTGTTAAATATAAAGTTTGTTCCCTACAAACATATAAATTAAACCAAGATGTGCGACGATTGTGTGGCCTCTTTAGTAATAGACAACGGGTCGGGTATGATTAAGGCCGGATTCGCCGGCGATGACGCACCCCGTACTGTATTCCCGTCACTCGTGTGCCGACCCCGTCATAGAAGATCATATCTAGACAATACTTATCAAGAAATGTACCTTGGCGACGCTGCAGCGTCAAAACGGGGTGATATGGCATTCACATACCCGATCGAGAACGGAATTGTCACCAATTGGGACGATATGATCAATATATGGCACCACACCTTCTACAACGAGCTCCGGGTCAACCCATATGAGCACCCAATTCTCCTCACGGAACCGCCCCTTAACTCCAAACCCAACCGAGCGTATATGACCCAGATCATGTTTGAATCATTCAACACGCCAGCAATATACGTGGCAATGGGTGCGGTGTTGGCGCTGTACGAGTCCGGACGCACCACCGGAATTGTGCTGGACAGCGGTCACGGTGCTACACACGCCGTGCCCGTCTACAATGGCTACTCGTTGCCACACGCTATCACAGGATTAGATGTGGCCGGACGTGGCCTCACAGAGTATCTGAAGAGGCTGATGTACGGCAGCGGCTTCACATTTACCACGCTAATACAGCCGGAGGCCAGGTCGAGTGTGCGCGACATCAAAGAGAAACTGTGCTACGTCGCTTTGGACTACGAACAGGAGATGGCCACCGCTGCCCACTCCTCATCGTTGGACAAGTCGTACGAACTGCCCGACGGACACGTCGTAACCATTAACGACGAACGGTTTAGTTGCCCGGAGGCGCTGTTCCAGCCGCCGCTCGTGGGTTCGCTGGATCGCGGTATTCACGAGACCATAAATAGCTCGATCACGCGATGCGATGGGCAGATGCGTAATAATTTGTACGCCAACATAGTGTTGTCCGGCGGCTCTACCATGTTTCCAGGCTTCGCTGACCGCCTGCATAAGGAGATGACAGCGCTGACCCTGTCCAGCGTTAGGGTGAATATAATTGCTCCGCCCGAACGCAAGTACAGCGTATGGATCGGTGGCTCGATTCTGGCCTCGCTGTACACTTTTCAACAGATGTGGATTTCTAAGCAGGAGTACGACGAGTCCGGCCCGTCGATTGTCCACCGGAAATGTTTCTAAACATTTAAGCTATATTAATGAGGCTCATAAAAAACTTTCAAACTAATTATTTTATTTTAATAAATTTAATTATTATTTATATAATTTTATAGTTTAAAGAGTGCCCGCCTGCCGTCGTCCGAAAGGACCATGACCAGATTTAATGAGATACACTTGTTACATTATTTTAAAGATTAAACACCGTTTTCTTATGTGTAATAATTTTTTGTTAGTGTATATTATATAGTTTTAATTTAATTAATTATAAATAAATTATAATTTATTTGTTACTAAATAAAAATAATATTGTTTTTTAATATTAAACTTGAGAATATTGTGATAATTAATTATAATAAATATAACCAGTACTTTAGTTAAAGTTACTTTACATCTAATTATTAAAATGAAATTATTTGTATAATATTATATAATAAGTTATTAACAACTTAAAAATAGATGCAGCATAAAAATATTAATATTTTAAATTTATTTTTGGTTAGATTATATCAATATTAATTTTTTATATATTCAGTTCAATAACAAACGACAATCATTATAATAGATCTAAGTTCATAAATACCAAAACACATGTAGTTTAATAGATGTATTAAATACAAATAAACGATAATAAATTATTATTGTAGTAAATTAATGTTAATTTGATTTGTTTTATGTTAATATTATTTTTTATGTGTTGCTCAACATATATTAATTCCAAATACAAAAACAATTAGTATAATTAAATTGAAAATATGCTCAACAACACTTTATTATGTTGATCAATTTAATGTTTTAAAGAATAATAAATCTAGCATATTTCAGATCGAAATTACCCTTAATGGAAAATTTTCTTCCTAAAAAGGTTAATTTTGAGTGCAATAGTCAGGTGCCGCTCTCAACTGTGCCCTTACAATTTGGCTACGATTTTGTACCCAAGGGCAATTTTACATTTACCTATTTTGGAAATGTAATGTAACATATTTATATTACAATTTATAATTAATAATATATAATCATAAATAACTTATATGTTAAACAAAAAATATATAACTATGTAATTTTACTTAATTTTTATAATCATTAATGCTTTACTCTAAAAACAACCAGGATGATAAATCTGAATATAGAATGCTATGCAGTCCGCTATACGAGGTGTTGAAACAATTGGTCAAACGCACGCAATACAGGTATTTGTTTTGAAAAGTTATCTTGTTATTTTTCATAAAATCTCATAAATACACCAATATTTATCAGTGCTATACCAATTATGGTAAATAAAAATCGAACCATCGATATACCAAATAATCCAGATCATAATAATGTTGAACTTGGCTATATTTACACAAAAGTAAATTGTTTATTTTCAATAACTAATATTATAATTAGCATTATATAAACTATTATAGCTTTACATATAAAGTTTACATGTATGCACATTAACTAATATTAAACAATTTTAATATACTATTGTAATTTAACAATATAATTATGCTTTGCATAAAAGGAGCTGGATATAATGTTGGACCAATTGCATATAGATCACGCTATGTACTCATTTGCTACGATTGCAATTCCCACAAGTGAACCCGCATTATCCCTGTTGGGCGCCAATTACCCAAACACTGACAAAAATCCCTTCAACGGTATACTTAAGATATTTGATGTTTACGTAAGTGACCCTAATTAACAGTTTATAATCCATGTCTGTGAGATATATTTAATTTTAATTTATCATTTTGATTATAGTTTTATTTACTGCTAGTTATAATAATTATTGGGTTTACCGTTTTGCTTACCTTTATAAGTGTTATGCAATTATTTAATGGCAAATTCAAAACAAACTACTCGATAAAGCTTAATAAAAAGCTGTTTTACATTAATGTGTTTAATCAAATTGTAATCGATCAGTATTTTGTCACAATAAACGCTTTATTAATGCAACGTGAGTAAATTATTATAATAATAGTCTTAATTAATTAAAAAATCAGTAAATTAATTAATTACTAAAAAATTACAGCAATCAAATTAAAACGTTACACAAATCCCTACGTGGTATTAGTGAGCAGTCTATTGATCGGCAAATTCATAATCACAACACATTTCAATCAAATGATTTTATCGATTACTATAACAAATCCATACACTGTTATCGACTCTCTCCAAGATTTACACTCAAAACCACAATTACAGACAAAGCTATTTATGACTAACTCTACACTACAAGATATGCTGGTAATCATGAATTAAATACTGTATATAAAGATGATTTTGTATACATTAATGAGTTGTTTATTGAATAATTATGTTCATAGGAAAAGTCAAGCATTAGCGAGCGTTTAGCTCTAGATAAAGGTCTGGCAAACGGTTGGGACAGTAATTTTATAGATAAGAGTTACACCGATTTTTTTGACAAAATTGAACAATTAATGTTAGAGATGTGCGACAAACGCACCTATGTATTGGTGGGCGGGAATAAAATACTCGAGTTGATAATCAAAATGAACCAAGTATATTACGGCCAGATTACTCATCTGGCCAAAACGAGATATTTTGTGCGTCCCTACGGTAACGTTTTTCATAAAGATCTTGATCCTATTTTAATTGAACAATTTCATAAAATGTAAGTTAACTTTATATAAATATCAATTTAATCATTGTCTCTATTATGTTGCATTAATGTTTTTGTAATAGTGTTAGTGCAAGTTCTGAGAGTGGTCTATGGTTTAAACAAGGTGAAACTGGTGTACAAAGTGCCTATAATATGTTGGTGGAGACAAAAGATATGATATTAAAGGATCACGATCAGTTGATGACCCTAGATTCAACTCGTATTGCTTTTGGACCTTATAGTTTAGGTATTTTTATCTCGGTCATTGTGCTTGGTATTGAAAATTCTATTTTGTTTATAATTTATAACAAGGTTAAAATGTTAGTATTATATAAACATAAACCAATGAGTCAGAATAAACAATTATTAAATAGCTGGACAATTGTACCGGTAAAAAGATATAACATGGTAGTTGTTAAACCAAAATCCAATTAAACTATTATAAATAATGCATTTTATATTCAAAATCATAATTATTTTTATAAAGATGAATAGGAATTTCATCGATACATGTAAATAAAATTATATTATCAATAAAGTAATTAATTAAATTATCATTTTATTGTCTGTGTTAATCGCTAGTTATATAAAATGAGTATATGAGCACTTTTATATTCTGTAACTATTATATTATTTAAATTAAATGTATTGTAAATCAATAAATTAATCTCATTCATTAATGTATTAGATTTATAATTGATATTAAATTTATTGAATTTATTCTGCTTTAGGAATGCAATAAAAGACTAATTATAATAAAACAATATTTTTATTGAGAATATAACAAAAATAAAAACATTTATGTAATAATCAGATAGATTTTTGTAATAAATATCATTATGGACATTTTTCTGAAAAAGAATGCCAATTTTGAGTGCGATGGTAAAATATCATATGCAACTGGCCCGGTTCAGTTTGGCTACAATTTTATATCTAAAGGCAATTTCACGTTCACCTGGTCAGCAAATGTAAATTTATCATTATTTTTTTTATTAATAAATAATTGCATCATAATTTTAATTAGATTATTAATTTGCTCGTGATTATATAATTACAATTATTTATATAGGCCGACCATGTTAGCACTAAGATCCTTTGCTTCCCATCGTATGCGTTACTTAAAACTTTGGTAAAATGGACCCAGCATGGGTAATTTAAACATTTAATTAATTATTTTAACAGGGTTAACTTACAGGTAATAATTTATAAGTTATCAAAATAACTAAACACCCTTCATCATATGAATAGGGCTATACCTGTGCTAATGGAGGCTAATCATACCTTAAAAACATCAAATAATTACACCCCCACTCGGCCTCAAATTGACTATATTTACAACGATGTAATATAAATATATTTTAAATTGTTAACTATTACAATTGTAATTATTATTAATGTTGAGTGTATTTTTAACATGTTTTCCTTCGATGACAATAATTATTACGCTGGTAGGAGTTGGATATCAATCTCGATAAACTGCATATCAATGACCAGATGCTAACATTTACTGACTTTGCGGCCCCTAGTGTTGAACCCTTGTTAGCGATGTTGGGCGCCAAGTATACAAACACACAGACAAATCCGTTTAATGGTGTGCTCGAGATATTTGATAACTATGTAAGTAATTTTTTAGAAATATTTTTCAATAATTGTATTTTTTACGTTTAGTTTTGGACACTACTTGTCGTAACAATTATATTATTTACATTGTTATTGGCCTTTATTAGTATATTTTCAACATTCAATAGTAACATGTTTAATCGCAAACATTTTCATACTGTAAACATTAAATCGGCATTAAGTGAACAATTTTATGTCACAATCAATGCTCTCCTAATGCAACGTAAGTGATATAAAGTATATATTAATTGTTATAAAATTGATTTTGTTTATAATTTATAGCGTTTAGATTAATATATGATACAAAACCATACGTGGTATTAGTGGGCAGTCTATTAGTCGCCAAAGTTATAATCACAACACATTTCAATCAAATGATTTTATCGATTACTATAACAAATCCATACACTGTTATCGACTCTATTCATGACTTACAGTCCAGACCACAACTACAGACAAAGCTCTATATGTCAAACACATCGCTGCAAGAGATTCTGGTAGTATTTAATATCATATGTATAATAGATTATTTAGTTCCCAAGTAAGTTACACTACTAAATTCACCTTATTTTACAAGGAAAAAGCTCACCATGATGAGAGTTGGGCACTGAATAAGTAGGCTGACCAACTCAAAAAATTTAATACCGGGATTTTTTTGTGAAAACTCCTAATAATTCCGGGACATTCCGGGACATTAAAAAATTATTCCAGGATATTTTCCGCGGCGCTTGTAATTATATAATATATGTTTATCTATACCCATTTAAGGCATATTATTTGCTAAATCAAAATA